CTACCAAGTACAAGATCACAATATCAGACAGTTAATAAATAAATACGGAATTTATAATCTATTTGCATGGTTAGATAGACTCCACCTCGTAAAGGACGAGCTAGGACATGGACTTTATAATTTTGAACAGAGAAGTGATCAATGTAGCTACGATAGAGAAACGTTACTTAGCATGTAGACCATCTGCCAACACAGCGATACTAGAAGACACAATGAGGTTCTACGATGTATCTATTTGGGACTCTACAAGAAATATGGTCTGAAAACATTCCCACGCATATGATTTTCAGGATGTCGTCGCGAACGAGAACGTAGAGATTAGAGTTGATACGCGAGTAAGAACTGCAATCAGAACAAAAACGGATCGACCGGATACCATGATACACGATGAGAAACAATGTGAAGTAATCCTGATAGAGGTTGGCATCACTAGTTAGGATAGGTTAAAAGCAGATGAGATCGAGAAAAAGCGAAAATATGGTCTAATGGCCAATAAGCTTACGTAATAGATGAAATGCAGGGCGGAAATAATTCCATAATGCAAACTTGAGATGGAATTGTAACGAACTTCGATGAACAGATGAACTGATCTTTTTCCAAGTGGATTTAACCACGGCGAGGTATATAGTGCTCAAGAAAACGCTTTCGATTTCACGAGGATGAAGCAACATATATATTCGCTCGGCTCTGCCGAGCAGTTGAGCTGCCAGTTAGTCGATCGTATCACAAAGCAGGAAAGCAGGAAATGAAGGAGAAATGGAAAAAACCGAGCCTGGAGTCGTAAATGAAAAAAAATCGGAAACAGGTGAGGTTGTTGAAGAAAGCTCCGTGAAAAACATGGGAGAGCATGACCAGAGCACAGGAACTAGCAAAACTGAGTGCCGAGTGAGCACCCCGAGAAAGCCGGAACAGGATCCAACGCGAGAATCAAGAAGATATAACCTCTGACCTGCTGCACATGATTATATACATAATTATTGCACAGATTAATAGATGCTTACTACAAGACCTAAAGCGCATAACGTAAGTCAGTATGCCTTAGATCTCCTGTACTAACATTACCTTATATGCATGAAACCTAATAAGAATGCGAAAAACCAACAAATAAATCTAACAAAATTAAGAAAATGACCAATCTCTACTAAAAAGATTTCCTATCATGTTGTAAATTAAAGTTTTACGGTAAAAGAGAAATAGTGACATTCATTAGCAAACAAACATTCTAGAATTCACACACCATATGTAGACTACTAGAATTAAAAACCCAAATCACAATTACAATTAGCTCCAAGTACCCCCACCCTAACACTGCCACTATTTAACAGATATCAGCTTTAACAATACTCAATTTGAAAAATTTCAATCCCACCTTTTTGATGCTTTCCATTCCACTCTCAAAAACTTCGAGACACCACATGTCCTTATGATATCAACCAGGTTTGCTTATGCGCCATCGCATAAGAATATATCTAATCCTATAATATGTGACTGATATACTAACTGGTCCATTCACAGCATTTTATTTTGTTATGCAGGCTATCATTCTTTTTTCCCGCTGAATACAATAATCTGCACAAAATACTACTTGACTGTCCTGCTTACATATCACTTTAGTCTAATCATCTTTCCCTTCTACCTTTGGTAGGCAGATAAATAATGAACAGAATACCTACCAAATTCATATTACTTCAACTCAATTATACTATCCCATCCTATAATAAACATACACCTTCCCAGTACTAATCCACCCATCACGTAACAAAAAAACCGTACGCTCGAATATGCCAGCAAGATGTTTGATAAGAAAGAAAATACCACTACCAACTTAAAAATTAGACTCGAGATAGAATTAACGACTTTCCATCGTTTTATTTACTATCAAATATTTTACAGAAAATTCCTGTAAATTATGTTCTCCAAATATATTACTTCATAGTATAACACATATCAAAATAACGATAAACACAATATATTTCAACAAATTACTGACAAAAATTAGACACCATGAATGGCTATCAACACCAAGAATGTATAGTAAAATGAGATTTTGGTAAAATTCAGAAATTCTCAGGCACTTCGTTGGAAGTTTGAATAAGCAATGTTTCGAACGAAGTTTAGAACTGCAAACGAAGTTATTTAATTATTGCCTGAAAAATATCATTTCTCTACGGTGAATTAAAGTAGATACATGTCATTTACATAGAAATTTTGAGAGTAATAATTTTACCTATACTTTGTGAGGAAAGCAAAGTAAAAACACAGTAAGAGAAGTTAAACATGGTTTAATTTTAAAGGACTTGGCAAAGCTGCTCAACAAACATCAAATGCATGGAATGAATATTTCGACGAAACACATGACTGTCTGATTTTCATGATTTCACCAACAAAAGATGCATCGCAAAGCTTTAAAATATACGATCATACTGTCATACTATGCGAACATTACGAGTGATAAACTGTAGAACTGTAGAATTGTTGATTCTACAAAAAAATAGAGGAATTACAAGCACCATCACATTTTGAGAGCAAATTTTTGACGATGCAATTTAAATAAAAATAAGGTCACAGAACATATCATATCATGAAGATATTTTTACTATGTAAATTATATGCCTTAAAACAAGTTTGACATATACCATTTCATGGTACATTAATATAGTGAAACAATGATAAACTCATGAAATGGGCGAAATTAAACTTAAAAAAAACTAGAGACACGATACATCTATAGTCCCATTGTTATCCTGAAATTCCTTCCAGTTTGTGGACAGATTGTCAATCTTCATTAAACTCAATAAAATGAAACAGTTTCCACTTGCAGGTTCCATTATCTACAAAAGTTTAGCAAAATTTGATTCTGAGCAGCAATCGCGTTACATAATCGCTAAATAATAAGTTGATAGTAAGCTTCATGCAATCTTACCTTTCGTTAATATTTGAAATATAAATAAGTGCAAGCATTTTCTAGTAAATACTAACTTTTTCTAGCGTTTGAACGATGTATACTGAGAAAGCTCAGGTTATATTGAAGGTACATATGAAGATCAAAAGTATACGTCGCATTAGTTTACAAAATCAAATTGAAAGCTAAAACGTAAAAACGAAAGTGAATAAAATTTAAGAAAAAACCTCAAACTCAGCCGATTCAGGATTTATACTAGTAGGAAATTTTCGGATGAAACAATTGTATGTATCAACACGATTAGTATTGCCTTTTCTCGGTTTTTTGCGTCGTTCATTTTGTACATCAACAGAAAACTGAAGTGAAGACGTTGTCAAACTGAACGTTTTAAAGACCGCATTTGAGCACATTTTTGAAGGATCTGATGGCTTCTTGAAAGCGCTAACGAGTGAAGAAAAAAAATTTCGCCGTTTTCGTAAACCAGCAATTCTGAATTCATGATATATGCGTCAAAAGTTTATTATTTCATTCTTAGGAACTATTATTTGCAAGGAAAAATTTGTTGATGAATGTGTGAGCACTTACTGTCATTAGGAAAAAAATTGGCACAACATAAGTACTATTACTAAACTGGAAACATTATCGCATAATGTTCTATGAAAGACAACCACATATACAATGCTCCATTTCCTTTCATAGAATATTCCCAAAAAGTAAGCTTCGGATGCTTCACGAAGCGAATTACAATTTATCATTACTAACTATATGTTTAAAAATAAAAAGGAGAGTAAGGATATTTTATGAAATTATATCACAGCTGAATTTTCAAGGCAACGACTAGTTAAGAGATACCTGAGAATGAGGTCAACCTTGGTACCAGTGTCCCGTGACACTGATATGCCAACATTATGCGCACCAGCGACAGATGATTCTGATCCTTCACTTTCCGACATTTATCATGTTTTCTAAAATTGCAGTGACATTTTCACAAGCTCGAAAAAATTTTGCTATAGAAATTTTATTGCAAAATATAAAATCCTAAGTTAAATGGTATTCATAAATAAGCAATATTCCGTATTTAAAAGGAAAAGAAACTGCATGATTTTGAAAACTAAAGATTCCTTAGGTCTTGCGATTTTTTGATATGACTACTTTTTTTTAATTAAACACATGAACTTAACTATTGCCAACTACATTAGTCTAATTATTTGACGTAGTCAGAATTTATATTTAAAATTGTATAAAGGTAAAGGTCGACCCTAAAAACGATTATGATGACTAAAAGAAAGATAGGAAGCTTACCAACAATTGCATTTGTCCAAATTTTTCTAGATAAATCCAATCGTGTGCCTGTGGAATGACTGGCTGAGACAAACGATAATTACTTGATAGGTTTAGCGCACTACGTTCTGTACTTTCAATAATATACCATGCAAATACAATCAATCGTTGCCTGAAAAAATCACGAAACAATTTAAGCAAAGGCATGTGTAGAAAATTAAAGATGACCTGCAAATTAAAGCATCATAATCACAAAATCAACAATAACGTAGTGAACTACATACTTCGAAATTATACAATGCAATTCTTAGACTGCCGAGTAGATATGCTAGAACGATCAAGTAAGTAGCACAGAAAATCGTGCAAGCTGAATAAATTGGTAAATTAATGCAGCAGAAATTTATTTTCTGAGACGAGCATAGCTAAGAGGGAAAAATAAAAGTTGAAAAAACTAACTGAAGACAAATGGAGCAATGAAATCCCTACCAAAATTAAGACTTATTTTGTTTGCCATCTCATGTTTATGTTAACAAGCATCTTGCATCTTGCAGCTACATATGCATTGCACTCAAATACTTACGATATATTCATGCATGTACAAAGCAATTATATATGTGTAAAGGAATGCACTGAAGTATGAAGACTCAAAACTAGCCATATATGCAAGTAAAAATTAATAGGCAATTAGATTTATCAGAAATTCTGTCTAGCCACCAGACAGGAAGTCAGTATGTAGAAGGTCAGTAGTGTAAGTTGAAAGGTAAATTTGGCAATGCCTTCGCCCCCACTTCAGTGAGCATTGCATCACTAAATACCGAATGTATTGACTACATAAATGACTAATTAATTAATTAAGTAAGTAAGTAAGTAACAAACTGGCAGTGATATACTGTGATGAAGGAGGGAAAGAGAGCAAAATCACATAACTAGCCTTTAACAATGTTTGGGATTGCATTGTATGAGACAGATCGATTTCTGCAAGCATTGACAAAACGAATGTATGCACAATGGATAGATGAACGAAGGAATGGGAGAACGAAAGAATTAGTGAATGAACAAACTAAAGAATGAATGAATGAACAAAATGTGGGAGAGCATTCAGCGTCCATATAGCGTGCAATCAATCATTTCTATCACGACTAGGTAATAGAGTGTGTCCAATTATTTTCCTCATTTCTAAACAACAGGCTTTCTCAAAGTAGTTGACTTGATAAGGGATCGATACGTTGACTGTCAGACTAGCCGTGACTGATTTACTGGATGACAAACTGTTGAACTGACTAACCGGTTAATGAATTGAATGGTGAAGTAAATGACTATCTCGTTGACTAGCTGACTGACAGAATCAAAAAATTGACTGACTGGACAGCTAATTTCATGATTAAGTAATCAGCAGACTTCTCTGACTGCTTGATTGAGTGACGAACTTGCGAGCCACCCACAATGTCATCTTACAACCTATTGTAAGCATTATTCTCTTTTTCCTCAAATACGAATTAATGGGTAGACTAGACGTCATAATCAAATCCTCCGTTACTATTCATTTCACGCGTAGACTGTTCACAAAAATGTGCTCTTTTGCATGTTAACTGTTGTTGCAGAAATAGATAAAAATCTTCTGTCAATGACTACATAATTATCATTAATTTGAAATTAAACAAACAAGCAATAAATTGTGGGGAAAAGTCTTTGAGTAAATTTTCAATTATGTGTAAGTCACATCACACGTTTACTCTCTGCAATTTCAAGTATGCTGAAGACAAAGAAAACTTTAATAAACTGTGCATAAAAGAAGCAGGAAAGTGATGTGATGACGATCTAGAAGACTAAGAGTCAGTTCAATTAAACTAATTACAGTGCCATGAATATTGAAAAAGTTAAAAGTGTATATTACAACTCTTGATTTACAAAAGTAGTAAATAGGAGATGGGAAGCTATGATGAAGCAAAGTTTTGCAAATACTCTTTCAGGGTATATTCTTGCTGTTGAACGATTTCTAGCTCAACGCGTAATCTCTCTAGTTCCAATTCACGCTCTCTTATTAGAATCTGAAATAATATTCCTTATTCTCTTTCATTTATTGCTTGTTTTCAAAACAAAAAATGATTAAAAGGGATCATTACTGTTTTTTGAAACTGCTGCAAACATCAAAGTAGTCTAGTTTTACTAAAGAGGAAACGACTTGTAGCAATTTAAAAGAGAAAACGAAAATTGAAGACAGTCCAATTTAAATACCGGCAAGTAATTAATAATCTTAAAAAATAATTTAGAAAATCAAGCAAATGAATACAAATTAAAATAGATATAAGCAGTCTTTTGCAGAATTAACTCGCACTTTTTCAAAATAACATCGAAGTAAATGACAAATTTCATACAACAAAACTTGAAGGAGCTAACTTTTAGCTGCTGTTCATCGATAGAACATTGTCTTTCGATGGCTTTCAAAGCATTGCTAGAAGCGATTGCAGAAACTTTCTCCTTTTCTACACCTAATGCCAACTGAAATTTGATGAACTAAAAAAGTTAAGCGGCAACCTCCTCATTATTCTTAAAATCATTTTTTTTTAAAATGAAATTTTAATCTGTGAAACAAAAGACTGATTCCAGCAGAAGTGCATAATGTAAGGAAAATATAGCTTGCTCAATAATTGTATGTCTAAAACAATCGGTTCAAAAGTCATTTTTGCATTTTGCTGGGAATTAAAAATAATAACTTGCAGTTAATATAAATATTACCTGGTCAAATGATTGAGTAATTGCTTCTGTAGCACTGATGAATGAATCTAATTTATCTAAAATTTCCACTACTTCATCCAAAAGTTCGCTTGAAATATCTGCAGCATCTGCAATTATTTTGTGTTTTGCTGATATTCATTTTTTCGAAAAAGTTTTCGTGAAGTATTTGTGCATAAAAACGACTTTAGAGCTAGAACTGCTAGATTATTACTCATAAATTTATTAAAATTTGCATCGGTAAAATCAATTTTTTTTATCGAACATAGTTGTTTGCTAAGAATTATTTTACTTATTAAATAACATGATATGCCTAAGTTATGTGTATTTTTTATTTTCTCTTACCTGATTGAAGTATACGTACTTTGTTTTGAGCATCTACATATAAACCAGCCTTTATCAACGTTCCATCTGACATTTTCGTTGCACTAAAAGTTTGGAGAATTTTTGTACGAACTTCAGCAGTTTGAACTTTATCTTAGGACAAAGTCACTTTCGAGTAGCTTAGTTTAATTGTAAAGTAAATTGTATTTTCCTATGGCCCAATGGTTGATCAATATTATGCGCACTCAAAATCACAATAAAATTGGAGGAAAGTGAAATTGCGTTGTCGTAGCAACAACTGCGTTATATAGTAGATTATTTAACTAAAGCAAACGTGTAGATTTATAATAATTGTTGAACTTTCTACTTGTAACACAGATGAAGCACTCTCTGCTAGTTAAATCTGTTATCTTCTCAACACTTGAAACTGACGGTGCTTCGACTCATCAGGTTTTGATTGCTTTTTTATTGTGAATAGCAAGTTTATCACATCTAAAAAATTTTTCTCAATATGTCCTTGTTCATATCGCTGTAATTATTTCATGAAATTTAATGAAAACTACCGTAACTCTAAATAGTGTCCAGAAAGCATTAGGTTAACCTTTATATCTTATTTCGTCTAATACACTAAAACTATGTAATTAATGGATCCACAGTAATAAATAACTTAAGTGTGACATTGATTACAATTTTATAAATCAAGTACTTATGAGTTCTAGTGTTGACAAACTTATAATGATGGGTTTATAGCAGCAGCAAATTTATTTCATTGTATTCTAATAATGAAGGTATGACGGGAAATTTTTGTCAATTTTTGTACGAGATGCTCATAATGCATACTTATTCATATCCAAAGTTACTTCACCTACTACATGAACAATAGTTAGACGAATAAAGCAAAGTTAGTAAAGTTAGTTTGAGTTACTAAATGAGTTGAAATCTTTAGTTATTTATTAACGAGACAAAAATACTACGCTTTATCAACCTGAAAGTTACAAGTGATCAGTGGAAGTTAGCAATCAAATGTACCGCATAAGTGACAATGCAGACGTCTACTGCTTGTAAACTGAAAATAAAGATAATATATTTTATGAACTAAATTGACAAGACAACAAAGAAACAAACTGGAAACAACACTCCATGTTATCGGATATTAAATATGATCTACTCAAGCATATTCTGAGTTCTGGCTCGCAACCGCACTATTTTAGAAAAGATTTGACATGATACAGCGACAAGACATCAAGCAGTAAACTTAGCATAGTTTACTGTGATGAAAAGTATGATATTGATCTCTGACAATTTTTCGTTGAATATCACTGAGTATAAATGATAAACTGAATTAACGGTTTTCCAGCCATTCCGAAAATTTAGTTTAGCATTGGCTTTATCGTAACTACTTTTTAAAAGTCTACAGATATTTAACTCGATCGTTAAAGACTAAAAGACGAGGAAAAAAAGTAGTCAGATGTAACATATATTTGCTATAGACACTGTTTATTTTCTATCGTTATTAAAAGCTTCAAAATTAATATTTCTTATAATCCAGTATAAGCAAAAAATATTTTTACTTAATCATTACGCTTTAGTGCCAATAACTTTCAATTAATGATAAAACAAAAGTTAGTGACTTCTTGCACAGCGTCCATACTACATGTGATTATAATCAAAAGTGGAAACACGAAGATTAAACTGAAACTTCTGATGTTGAGCAGTAATTGAGAATTTGAAGTGTGGATCAAATGCTAATTTCACAAGAGACGAATAATTTCATTTCAACTGTGTGGGAAAACTTGTGAGTGGTCTCAAATGATGGTGCATACTCTGGCTGTGGGAATCAGATTTCTTATAAAGAATTGAAGCTATACTACAATGTTAGTCTGTATACTATTGGCATTGAAGTGATTAAGTTAATAACTGACGTTGCTAGTTCAACTTAATCGTGCTAAATTAGTATTTCAGTAATTATTTGTGATATTTAAATTAGTTTGTGGTTTGTTGTGAGGTAAGAAACGCAGGCATTTACAAAAAAAGCACAGTAGAGCTGCACTGGAATAAAGGAAAGTGTATGGACTGACGTAAGTGGAAAGTGCAAATTAATTCGGAATTGTGGCAAGTATGAAAGCAGTAAAATTGAATTTGAAATAGATTATTTTAGATGCGTACCTTAGTGTTTTTGCAACATATAATATTTCTGTTGTTTTTATTTGTTTATTATTTCCTCAGAAATCGAGATATTTTTGTAATTTATTGTTAGTAAACACCGAGATTTTCGCAATTAAACAACTCGATATTGAAGTTTGAAAGTATTATCAGCGTTGGCAGTCTTAGTTGTTTTCGTCAACTTTTGACTACTGCTATTTTTATAATCTATAGGAAGTAGACATATGGGGGAGGAAGTTGAAAAAATTGGAGGACGTTTTGTACGTTTTGCTGGTTCTCCCTCAAGGTATATCAAATTGAATGTTGGTGGTGCATTGTACCAGACCACGATATCTACATTAACCAAGCACGATTCTATGTTACGTACCATGTTTTCTGGCCAAATGGAGGTTTCTTGAATTATATACTTTGTTTCGTTTTTCTTTTTTTTGATTATACAAACATTTTCGAGCGTATGAAACTTTTTCTGTGCCGGGGAGTTGTTAATTTTCCAAACCTTGGCTTCTAAACTGTTTACTTTAGATATCACATTTATCAGTAAGTGTAGATATATATCAAACATCTTACACTACAATGCGCACCAAAATCGGTGAAGCCAATGCACTGCTAAACTAATTGACTTTATATTCTGTGTTTAGTGGTTTTTAGTGATAAAATGAAGGAATGACGAAACCTAATAATTATACAAGTCTTCTTCAGTCATGTACTTTGAGAAGTTTCGTGCTAGGTTTAGTCATAAACGTAAGTAAAATACCCCCACCGCTGTGATCCTCACATAGTAATTTCTTGGTTATAAGAATTTTGATATCATTATGTTTGAAAAAGAACCATTTTTTCTGTTTTGTGAGAAATACATGTAACAGAATACTCTTCAAACGTATTGGAAAGGCGGCTAGGAACCGGTTAGTTACTTTAATGCATTTCTGATTTCAGCATAAGTTCCGTTTACAAAACCTAGTTATCTGTGTATGGATGTGGCTACCATAAATTCTCTTTGAAAATTATTGTCCTAAACAGAATCGAGTGTGTGAGAAATGGTACTCCTAATCATGGTGAACCAAAGTTGTGTCTAGCACCGCGTATGCACTAGTTACAGGCTGCGAAGACCGAATTTCATCAATATGAATTATCTTTCATCAACTTAGCTTACGTGATTTGTGTACTGTTCAACTGTCTTTAAACAATCAGTGCTACCAACTTACATTAAGAAAAGTAAAACTGAACTTTACCACTATTTTAGACCATGTTTTAGCGTTATGATGGAAAGAAATTCGGCTACAAATATAGTTTGATACAACATCACAATTGGTGGTAACCAGTAAGACAATTACATGAATATAATTAGAAAAATGCGAAATATTTGATGATATTGCATAATATATCATCAAATACTTCGAAGAAGCAATAAATGGACGCTTCCTACTGACTACATAGATGATAAAATAAGGCACTAAATTTCGTGGTCACTGATTCAAGAGATAAACATAAGTCATATTTTAACAATTCTCAAAAAATTGGAGGTTATTAGTTACAGATATAATAATTCATAACATTATCTCAACTAATGGTATCGCAAAGTTGTGGACCACGTCAAGACCGTGCATTCAAGAGAAAGCTATAAGATTAAGATAAGGACACATAAAGTAGTGCTTTTTGTACCTATATGTCTGTTCACTCAAATTACGTAAAAAATTACAAGAGCGATTGTAACGGCTTAACATAAACGAGTTTGAAAGCAGAGGCATTGAAGTAATCTTTGGGTCATTATATGTCCTTGCAACTAATTTTAAGCTTATCACAAAATACTGCTAATTATACAAGATTTGCACACTTGAATTTAACGATGATATGTTCATCGAAACTTTTCAGACCCAACAATTAGGAAATTCAAGGACGTTGAACTGATTAATTGATGTCTTCATTCACACCACCAGCAGTTAAGCTAATTGAACGTCCATCCATCAGTTTCGAAAAACGACACCGTTCATCCTGTCCACTTGTTCCCGGTGTGACTTCACTGCCAAATGAAGCAGGTGAAGTACGTTGAGGCTAAAAAATGCAACAAAGCCGTCAAGCTAACACTTTGACACAGATGAAATGTTTTGACAAACGAGTATTCCGATTTTTGTGCTTCAGACTTAAATGTAAATAACCTACGGAAACTGAAGCACTATGAGAAGTAGACTGAGGAAGTTGTAATTGCAACGACCCAGCTGATCGTGATGATGTACAATTTCCACCTTCACCTCCACATCGAATACAAACATGCCGTTCTTCAAAGAGCAGAACATTCATTGCTTCTTCATAAATTCGAGCTTCGGGAAACTCGATCTTTGTCTGCTTTCTGTCAGTCGTGTAAACAATTGATGTGCAACAAATCTATAAAAATTTCAGCTTTAATTAACAGAAGAAAGCAGATGTTTTTGAAACAAAAAATAACTGCCAGTGAGAGTAAATAGTACTCTCCATATTCTTTCATAATGCTTATTTACAAGTAGATGTGAAAAAATAATATATTAGGGTAAATAAATGCGTATTTTATAAAAAGACCTGTAATACTGATAACTACAGAATTTCTCACTCACTTCAGCTTTCTTTTTGCTTTGTCCAAAAAACGTCCACTGACATACTTCCGTATTTTCCGAGCCAATATCTACAGAGATTATTAAATATGAGGATGATAGAAAAGATAATATGTTTGCTATAAAAGTTGGAAATACAAGAAAAATACCTTTAACAAAAAGAATGCGACGACTGAACCTTACAACAAGCCGGTCGAAAAGCTCCAGGTTCTTCATCAAGTTATCGTCTGAATGAACAGTGTACGAATACTTGTTGTTATGTCGATTAATAAGAAGTTTTATAACAGGCTGAAAACAAAACAAAAGTTTTCATGTCATGAGCAGAACTGTCAGTTTTTAAATTTTAAGACATAAATGAATTGTGATGACTAGTTAAAAAACTGTTTGGTAAATGTAGTGAATAAAAACGTAAGAAAATGTGCAGCATATAAAATATTTCAGATCATAGAAAAAAAAGAATATATAGCTTTTGATGAACATATCAGTGAGTAAATGCCTACATCTAACTGCATCAAATTAGGTGAAGAAACTGATTTCAAATTCAATTGTTTCAATATTCCTTTTTACCATTATAAGTAGAAAATATGTTGCACATTTACTATTTTCATTTCATTTTCCACTGTCTAAAAGTTATTGCCTTGTTTGCGTTCATTACGATACGATCACAGTCTGCTTTAAGATTAACAAGCGGGACTTTACAAATACCATCAGGTTCAACGTTCTCTTGAGTCATTACTTCTAGCCATTTCTGACACTGTTGAACCAGTTTCTGAAGGTAACTGTTAAGTAAAACAGTAAAGCATAAACATAAGTGAACAAGTGCATGGAAAAGCAAAATTTAATATACCTGAATAAGAAAATATTTCGCTTCGGCTAATATTTCAGCCGTTTCAACACGACATTCTGGCAACGGCACGTAACAATCCCTCAAAAAATTTAAAATAGTACCAAAATGTTTCCCATTACGATCAATCAAAACCCAGCCATCATCATCTGTAAGAACCTGAAAGATGTGTAAAATGTTCTTATTTTATCACTAAAAACCACTAAACACAAAATATAAAATCAATTAGTTTAGCAGTGCATTGGCTTCACTGATTTTGATGCGCATTGTAGTGTAAGATGTTTGATATATATCTACACTTACTGATA